TTATTATTATTATTATTATTATTATTATTATTATTATTATTATTATTATTATTATTATTATTATTGATGATGATCATCGCACAGTCAGCCAGATGTTCAGACTGGGTTTGGCATTTTGTCTACCTATCGAGTCCTTCCCAAGGACCTGGGATAGGCAGATGTGGATGTTTGATGGTATTACAGATATCGTCGCAGGATGGAAGCAGTTCCTAGTAAGGCCGCCTTTTGCAATTGACTAACGGCGAATCTGTCAATGCCAATGGTGTTCAAGTGGTGCTCCAGTTGTTTTGGGATTGCACCCAAGGCGCCTGTTACTATTGGTACTAGGCGCCTTGGGTGCAATCCCAAAACAACTGGAGCACCACTTGAACACCATCATTGGCATTGACAGATTCGCCATTAGTCAATTGCAAAATAATAATAATAATAATAATAATAATAATAATAATAATAATAATAATAATAATAATAATAATAATAATAATACAACCGTCGCAGCATCCCCACGATTATGGGATGAAAGCTTCGAGCACTTGGCAACTGGCAACTGGCATGTACTTAGGACAGTTTATTTATGTCTAAAACAATAAATAAATAAATAACAGCTGAAGGCAGCTGCGCGGTCCTGGGTCGTGTGATCGCCATTGGTAACCTCCCCAGCTGGATTCCTTCGTGCCAAGTCAAAGGGGAAAGCCGGTTTCGCTTAACGACGGCGCGTTTTGCTTAACAACGGCAGCGACTCGTTTAACGACCCTGGCAAAAAAAAAACAAAGGCCGTAAAACGGGATGACGCTTGCTTAACAACTGCCTGGCTTAGGGGCAGGATCGTTGCCTACGAGGCGGGCGGCAAATTGATTCGATCGATCAATCAATCAATATTCTGGTCGGTAAGGCGAGGACTGGGGCTACCCCTGCTGCCAGTGTGAAGGGGTCGTCTTAGTTATTTTGGGGGGGGGACCCCAGAGAGAGAAATCCAGGAAATCCACTGAAATCCAGGAAATCCACAGCAAGCCTTGGGTGCCTACGTTGCCAGTCTGGATGAGGGTGTTTTCTTTTGTTATAACCCTGGCAGTTCTCTCTATTTTTTTTCCCACGTTTTTTATTAATTTCCCAATATTACATTTACATGGCAGTTCTCTCTAAGTGGCCTGTCTGTCACCCTTCCAAGCTGATTATTTACACCTCCTATTTACAGGAAGGCAACTGGAGCAGGTTTATTATTTCCGGCAGGCGCTGGTGTATTATTTGCATAAACTCTGTGTAAGCACTTCAAACTGAGCAGGAATCCGGAGAACCATTAACCGCGCTCCAGATTAGACCCCAAGTTTTTCCTCTGCACTGTTTGTTGTTCAGTTCAATGTTTCTCCAGCTTAGCAAGTTGAAGTGGGGTGGACTTTGACTCCCAGAATTCCCCAGCCAGCTTTTGCTGGCTGGGGAATTCTGGAAGTCAAAGTCCACCCCTCTTCAAGTGCGCTGAGATTTGAGTGACACTAATCGGATCGCTTCCGATTCTCCTTTGTGTTCATTCTCGTCAGAACCGGCTAGGATTCGGAATCAGAATCAGAACAGAGCTGGGAGGGACCTTGGAGGTCTTCTAGTCCAGCCCCCTGCTCAAGCAGGAGACCCTATTCCAATTCAGACAGTAGTTCAATCAGAATAGAGTTAGAAGGGACCTTGGAGGTCTTCTAGTCCAGCCCCCTGCTGAAGCAGGAGACCCTGTATCATTTCAGACAGTAGTTCAATCAGAATAGAGTTGGAAGGGACCTTGGAGGTCTTCTAGTCCAGCCCCCTGCTGAAGCAGGAGACCCTGTATCATTTCAGACAGTAGTTCAATCAGAATAGAATTGGAAGGGATCTTGGAGGTCTTCTAGTCCAGCCCCCTGCTGAAGCAGGAGACCCTAGACCATTTCAGACAATAGTTTAATCAGAATAGAGTTAAAAGGGACCTTGGAGGTCTTCTAGTCCAGCCCCCTGCTCAAGCAAGGGACCCTATACAATGTGAGACAATCTCTTCCTAAAATCATTGGAGCATTCACCGCTTCTGGAGGCAGGTGGTTCCACTGGTTAATTGTTCTCACTGTCAGGAAGTTTCTCCTTAGTTCCAGGTTGCTTCTCTCCTTGATGAGTTTTCATCCGTTGCTTCTTCTTCTGCCTTCTCCACAATATCTGCTCCCCATCCACGTCCAATTGTCTGCAACTTTATCCAGCATCACCAATCAAAAACGTGCATTTTGTTTTTCTTTCCATGGTCCACTTTTCCCAGCAGGATGGGGAAACCATGACAAAGAAGGATTAGGTTGTGACATGGTAGCAGTTATTCCAGTATTTGAGGGGCTGCCACAAGGAAGAGGGGGGAGTCAAGCCATTCTCCAAAGCACCTGAAGGCAGGAGAAGAAGCAACGGATGGAAACTCATCAAGGAGAGAAGCAACCTGGAACTAAGGAGAAACTTCCTGACAGTGAGAACAATTGACTAGTGGAACAGCTTGCCACCAGACGTTGTGGGTGCTCCATCACTGAAAGCTTTTAAAAAGAAACTGGATAGCCACTTGCCTGAAATGGTATAGGGTCTCCTGCTTGAGCAGGGGGTTGGTCTAGAAGACCTCCGAGGTCCCTTCTGACACTGTTATTCTGTTATTCTATAATCCCAGGTCAATTAATCAATGGAACAGCTTCCCTCCAGAAGTTGTGGGTGCTCCATCACTGGAGGTTTTTAAGAAGAGATTGGACAGCCTTCTGTCTGAAATGGCACAGGGTCTTCTGCTTGAGCAAGGGGTTGGACTAGATGACCTCCAAGGTCCCTTCCAACTCTGTTATTCTGTAAGGGTCTCCTGCTTGAGCAGGGGGGGTGGACTAGAGGACCTCCAAGGTCCCTTCCAGCTCTATTCTGTATCGAATTGGACTTTGTGATCAGTGTGATGTCCCTGCACCTTAAATTGTCTTAATTCCCTTCCTCCCTCAGTGTGCTTCTTCTGTAGGGTTTATTACTTACTTACTTACTTACTTACTTACTTACTTACTTACTTACTTACTTACTTACTTACTTATTTACTTACTTATTTATTTACTTATTTACTTAACTTACTTATTTTGCTGACTGGGGAATTCTGGGAGTCGAAGTCTACCTGCCTTTAAGTGGTCTGGTTGGAGAAACCCCAGCTAGGCCTGCTTGGTCTTCATTTTGTACGGTCCTCCGCTGTTCTCCACAATACAGACCGTCCTCAATTTACGACGGTTCATTTAGTGACCATTTAAAGTCACAGCAGCGCCGAAAAAAGTGACTTAGGACCGCTTTTCACACTTACGACCGTTGCAGCACCCCTGTGGTCACGTGATCAGAATTCGAATGCTTGGCAACCGAGTCCTACTTACGACGGTTGCAGCGTCCTGGGGGTGGGTGGGAGTTGTGCGATTCCCCTTTTGCGACCGTCTGATAAACGAAATTCATGGGGAAGCCAGATTCACTTAACAGCCGTGTGACTGCAGTGATTCGTTTAACAAATTGTGGCAAGAAAAGTTGTAAAATGGGGCGAAATTCACTCTTAACAAATTTTGGGCTCAATTTTGGTCGTAAGTCGAGAACTACCTGTAACCTTCTCTCCACCTATTCCAGAGATGTTTAATCCAATAGAACAGCACTTAGACTTATATACCGCTTCACGGTGCTTGTACAGCCCTCTCTAAGCGGTTTGCAGAGTCAATCTGGGTCCTCATTTTTCCGACCTTGAAAGGACAGGAGATGATAAGATAAGATAAAATATAAGATAAGATAACCTTTATTGTCATTTTTTTACTGTGGGCACAATGGCACACATCAAAAATGAAATTTAGTTGCACACTCTCAAAGTGAAACATATACATGACACACACCTAAACATACTATGAACAACATATGTATAGACCCACATCCCTACATATACATAGCAAATAAATATTAAATATTGTCCATCTTGAATATATAATGGAAGGATAGATAGATAGATAGATAGATAGATAGATAGATAGATAGATAGATAGATAGATAGATAGATAGATAGATAGATGATAGAGATAAGATAAGATAAGATAAGATAAGATAAGATAAGATAAGATAAGATAAGATAAGATAAGATAAGATAAGATAAGATAAGATAAGATAAGATAACCTTTATTGTCATTTTTATACTGTGGGCACAACGGCACACATCAAAAATGAAATTTAGTTGCCCGCTCTCAAAGTGAAACACACACATGACACACACCTAAACATACTATGAACAACATGTACAGATCCACATCCCTACATATACGTAGCAAATAAATATTAAATACTGTCTGTCTTGAATATATTGGCCGAGCCAATGTTGAACCTCCTCAAGATTGAACTCTTGGGCTTCCAGTGCTTCCTTCCTTCTCATTTCCCTTCCTTCCTTCCTTCCTTCCTTCCTTCCTTCCTTCCTTCCTTCCTTCCTTCCCAAGCAACAGCACTTAGACTTATATACCACTTCCCACTGCTTTACAGCCCTCTTTAAGCAATTTACAGAGTCAGCCTGTTGCTCCCCCCAACAATCTGGGTCCTCATTTTACCGACCTCGGAAGGACGGAAGGCTGAGTCAATGTTGAGCCTCATCAAGATTGAATTCCTGTGCTTCCTTCCTTCTCATTTCCCTTCCTTCCTTCCTTCCTTCCTTCCTTCCCAAGCAATAGCTCATAGACTTATATACCGCTTCACAGCGCTTGACAGCCCTCTCTAAGCGGTTTACAGAGTCAGCCTGTTGCCCCCCCCCCCCAACAATCTGGGTCCTCATTTTACCAACCTCGGAAGGATGGAAGTCTGAATCAACCTTGAGCCGGTCAGGATCGAACTCCTGGCAGTGGGCAGAGTTAGCCTGCCATGCTGCCTTCTAACCTCTGCGCCACCACGGCTCCTTCAACCAAAGGTTGAAACCCATTTTGGAATCAACCGGGCGGAACCCGTGTTGACCGAGGTCAAGACCGTGTCCATCTTCTTCTCTTCTGCAGTGCCTCTCGCCCGCAAACATCTTTGAACTGGTAGGGAAGACAACCTCTGGAGAGGCCAACCTCACGTCCCCGGAGCTGCTGACCTTCTCGGCAGGGCTGGTCGTCTACTTCTCGGATCCCGTGGCCGCATGCACGGCGATGACCAAGAAACACTGGGTGTCTGAGGTCCGTGGTTTCCAAACCAAATTCTTTGATGGGAACCCAGCAGCCGGACCCACCTCGGAGAAAGTCGCCCGGCAGATGCTTGTAATCCAGAGGAATGCCAAGTCTGTCAAAAAGGAGGAGGTAAGGGGCAGTGGTGGGGCCACAGCTGGCCGGGGAAGAGTCCTAAATGAGAGAGGTCACCAGAGAGATATCAGCGTTGGGGGTCTGCTGAGTTCCAACTGAGTTCCAGAGTCATAAAAATCAGAAACTCCGAACAGCCATAAAATCATCAAGCCTGCCACATAAACCGATGTAGTGCAGATAGAATTCAGAATTACCATAAAACCTGCAGACTTGCCATAAACCCTCACTGGTGAATTAAAGTCCTGGAGAAGCCACAAACTTCAATTGGCCTTCAAAGGCCAGTGAAGTGAAGTTGGTCCAGATTTCCAGGGAGAGGCTGTTGGGTCAAGGTTTGAGAAGATGGACCTTCTCTGAGAAGGTGGCTTAGACAGCATCAGAATAGAACAGAACAGAACAGAATAGAACAGAATAGAATAGAATAGAATAGAATAGAAAGTAGAATAGAACAGAACAGAACAGAAAGTAGAATAGAATAGAATAGAATAGAATAGAATAGAATAGAATAGTAATAGAATAGAACAGAACAGAACAGAACAGAGAACAGAATAGAACAGAACAGAACAGAATAGAACAGAAAGTAGAATAGAATAGAATAAAATAGAATAGAATAGAATAGAATAGAAAGTAGAACAGAACAGAATAGAATAGAATAAAGAATAGAATAGTAATAGAATAGAACAGAACAGAAAGTAGAATAGAATAGAATAGAAAGTAGAATAGAATAGAATAGAATAGAATAGAATAGAATAGAATAGAATAGAATAGAATAGAATTGGAAGGGACCTTGGAGGTCTTCTCAGACAAGTGACTGTCTAGCTTCTTAAAAATCTCCAATGATGCAGCGCCCACGATTTCTGGAGGTAAGCTGTTCCACAGCACCAGATGGATTTGTAACTGGCTGGCAAACTGTACTCAGCGAGTAGTCCTCTGTGGTACTACATCCACACAGAGAGAAGTAAGCAGTGGGGTACCACAAGGCTCCGTCTCAGGCCCAGCACTCTTCAATATTTTCATAAATGACTCAGATGAGAGAATAGAAGGGGAACTCATCAAATTTGCAGATGACACCAAACTGGCAGGAGTAGCCAACACCCCAGGAGACAAGCTCAGGATCCAAAAAGATCTTGACAGACTTGAACCATGGGCCCTATCCAACAACATGAAATTTAATGTGGGGAAAAGCAAGGTTTTACACCTGGGAAAGGAAAAACCAAAGGTACAAGACCTTGGAGTCCCAGTGGACGATCCCTTAAACACGAGCCAGCCGTGTGCAGCAGCTGCTAAAAAAAAGCCAATGCAGCATGGCTGGCTGGAGAATTCTGGGAATTGAAGTCCATAGGTTCCCAAGCATGGAGAATAGAGTCTCCTGCTTGAGCAGAGGGTTGGACTAGAACACCTTTAAGGTACCCTTATTCTGTTTTATGGGGAGGATTCAAGCAGGATGGTTTCTGCTGAAATGTCCCGTCGCTCTTTAACCCTTTGAAATATGGGAAAGCAACTTTTGCGCTTTCAAGATGGCGAAACTAGCTTTTTAGCTCTTGTTCTCTTTGATAGGGTAATAATAATAATAATAGTAGTAGTAGTAGTAGTAGTAGTAGTAGTAGTAGTAGTAGTAGTAGTAGTAAAGTTGGAAGGGACCTTGGAGGTCATCTAATCCTGCTCAGGCAGGAAACCCTACACCATTTCGGACAAATGGCTGTCCAGTCTCTTCTTAAAAACTTCCAGTGTTGGAGCATTCACCGCTTCTGGAGGCAGGTGGTTCCACTGGTAAATTGTTCTAACTGTCAGGAAGTTTCTCCTTAGTTCTAGTTTGCTTCTCTCCTTGATAAGTTTCCCTCCGTTGCTTCTTCTCCTGCCTTCAGGCGCTTTGGAGAATAGCTTGACTCCCTCTTCTTTGGGGCAGCCCCTGAGAGATTGGAACACTGCTATCATGTCCCCCCTTGTCCTTCTCTCCATTAAACTAGACCTACACCATTCCAGCAACCGTTCCTTATAGACATGCCTCGCTCCCTCAACCATCATTTATGAATTAATTAATTGTGCTTATTAGTCGCTCTTCCTCTGTAGCTGGGAAAAAAAAAATTGTGGCTGTGCTGACAAAAGGGGGAAGCCCAGCCTAAATCTCTCACCTGCTCTTCTCCACTTACCCAGCCCTGTGCAGAAGTGGGCCAGATCCTTAAAAGCAGCACCTCCGTTTCCCGCCACGTGGCATCGAATCCAGCCGGGCAGATGTTGGCGTTCCTCTCCTACCACGTCTTACGAGGTGGCTGCTTCCATGCTCTCCCTCACCAACACTACTTTTTGGATTACATTTTCCAACACTACAGCAACGGGACTCACAACCTCACTCTGGCAGGTAAGCCTCCAAGCGGTAGGCTTGCTCACCTGGGGGGGTGGGCAAGGATTTGAAAACACCCGTTTTATTTTTATTTTTTTTAAACAACTTTTATTAATTTTTCAAGTTTTAACATCCAAATACTTAGGAAGCAGTGT